GTTTCGCGATTTGCTTCATCATTTATATCCACCCCATTGCACGTCAGCTAAAATGTGTGAGATTACAGCGCACAAGACACATAGCGTGCCAAAGTATTCCGTATGCTGGAATCTCTTTGTACATTCACTGTGTAGTGGTCTATTCGTTGGTCTATCTCAAACCGGACCTCCGCACTGCTTTGCGGAGGCCGTTTTTGATGCACTTCTTGCTCGATGCTTTTTGGTGGTTGTAACTGTGGTTTTAATCAATACCGTAGGCTGACGTTATTGATCCATTCTGCATTAACACTAATCGAGACCGCAGAAAAAAGCTTCTCCCATCGGGCGACTGTTAGCGTTCGGAGCTTGCGCAAGCAAAATAAAACTGAATAGAAACTGTACGCGAAAAATCATCTCCACCCCAAGCTTTCAGGTCTCTGGCATGGTTGCTTCTTTTTGACAGATGCCAATTGTTAAGGCGCGTCAGTCATGGCCTTTCTATAGGGTAATCACACGACGAGAAATCCCGGGGATTTCTCCACGGCACGCGCATCCCACGACGATAACGCCAGGTCTTTGCGATGTGCAAAAGCCTCGCGTTTTCATCTCGTGATGCGCGCGTGCCGGGGAGAAATCCCCGGGATTTCTCCCTCGTGTGAATACCCCTTATAGATCATTTCTTCTTTGCATGCAGGCTTCTCCAGCAGTTCATCTCTACCCTGTCGCACAGGCTCTCAACCAGAATGAAACAACTTAAGAAAACTGGAGTCTATTTAGCTCCTCTTACTTCATTGTTGATTAAACGTTATGCTCAAGACTGAGCACCAGCAAGCTGTTTTTCACGAACACATTTTATGGTGAACCGTGGTGCTACACCAAGCCGATGGTCCCTCGAATGTTCTTGTTCTTTGCCATTCCACTAGATGTTCACTTGTTTCCAAGTTAATTGAGGCGTCCGAGCAGCCGGAATTCTGGAGTAGTGCCGTCGTTGTTTTTCTCCCGCGGCCGCAGTGGGACCACCGCGTGAACGGTAGTGGGCTCACACTACGCGTTCACGAAGTCGTAGAAGCAGACGACGACGAAGCAGACGACAAAGCCACTCTAAACCGCTAAGACGACTGGAACTGCTTTTCTAAGCTTGCTGACCAACTAAGGCATCACAAAAGCAACACAATCTTGTGAAATACAGATATGCTGGAGAATCAAGGCGATACCGGGGCGTTCCAAACGATAATCTACGATGATATACGCGCAGCCCTATGGAAGCCGGAAAGGGATGACTACAAGTAGCACGGCGGCGCCACCACTTCCGGAATGCGCGCCTGCGCAGTTCGCTTGGTGACATCGGTCTATTGATTTCGCAATTTCTTTTCTTACGAGACCAGGAACATCGTTCTCTTCGAAATGTCATTCAGAACAAGCTGGGGTGCTTTCTTGCGGACTTTATTGTATCCGACACAGGATACCAAACATGTGCTTTGGCAGGATACCTAAAGGAAGTAGTTGATGCGTATCACTTTCTGTCACTAAGATTTTGAAGAGACTGTCTGACGTCTGTAACACGTAAGAATTTGACGAGAGATCTTGTGTGTGTCGCCTTTCCAATGCCAGTTTATCGCACTATGTTCGGCCATGATCCTGACCAAGATGTACTACGCCAGGTGAAAAAAATGTGCATTCCCCCGGCGATAAAAACTTTCTTTTTTAAACTGCACTGTTCGTTATTACCTACCAAGGTAGGGCTGCAGGAAAAGGGCATGTATGGTCCGTGTTCAATAAACTGCACATTACGTAAAAGGCCCGAAACAGTCGAACACGTATTTATTCACTGCTGGGATGTGGTTTTCCTTTGGGACATTTTGCAGCGCACACTAAAGCAAGACATTGATATTACAACTTACACGATTCGTTTTTTTTTCCTGTGTCATCTAAACATACCTTTCCTTTTGATCTTGTGATGCTTGTAGCGTTATACAGCATGTGAAAATCACGTCTTGACATTATAAATGAGAATTTGTACCCAAAGACTGTACGCTTACACTTTATTGACCTTGTAACAAGTATCAGAGGTGTGCATGACATTCAAGAAGTAGTTCCGGAATGGTTACCTTTGTTTAGTAGTCTCATAGATATAAAAGAATTTTTACTTAACGAGTGACATTGAACCATGCCCGTGAGCTGTGAATAAGTGGTTTACATTTACTTTTTATCCTTCCATGCAATACAGAAGAAAAAAAAGCGCGCCCGTGGCATAGCGGTTAATGCGCTTGTCTTCCACGCAGAAGGCCAGGGTTCGATTAAAGGCCGCGTCGGCGCATTTTGTTGACGCTGTGATGTTCTGGTAAATTCGAGAACCGTCTTGGCTGATTTCGAGCTTAGAATGCTTTTCGCACCGAACCTTTTACGCCGAATGTTCCAGAAGCGTACGCGTGTACAAAAAAGGCTTCGCGTGGCAAACCGCAGTCGACTGGCCCCAGCGTTCGACTCCCACTCTTACGCCGACTTCGAAGCCAGCGACGCTCTACTGTTATCTCATGTTTCCTTTTTATTTTTGGGCACAAGTTCGTCTCATAAACGTTTCAGTTTCCCCCAGTTATTCTTTGCTCCTTCGCCTGCTCTTTCGTGACAATATGCTTGTTAAAAAAATTCGTTAGGCGCGAATAAATGATTTTTTAAGCCCCTTAAAAATACAGGAAGAATAGAAAGAGGTAATATAATTAGAGAGATTATTTATATCGCCTCCTCTATAAATTACGGTCACTTGAGTGGTTTGCATTCCCAAAGGAAATGTACCTGTTTCTAACTCTAGATTAATTATGCATGGGATTATAGGGCAAGTACATCTAGTACGTGTTTTATTGGTCTTATTTGTATATCATCTATGTCACGGGATTTACTGGTTTTTGAGCTAATGACTGCGATGACAACCTCGTTTTCCCATGTGCGAAAAGAGAATAAGTAGTCTCAGCAATCTGCTTCACAGAAAGGAACACCGGAATGATACAAAGCTTCCGGATTATCTGACGGGTATACCTCGTTTAACTGACGAGATAAAAGAAGGACAAGACGAGTGAATAAGCGTGAAAGAAATTGGGAGTGCCGTCGATGATCTGCCGATGAAAAAAAATTCCGACGACATCTAAGCCCTTCTTCTGAGCTGTGAATGCGAAACATGAATGTCGTTCTTCCGCTCCCTTAGTTCATCTGCGGCATTGTGGCGTGGACGGCCGCGTTTCGCTATTGCCAAGGTAGCGGCCGACGGCCGAACGCCCGCTCTCGTGAAGTGACCGCGCCGCGCTGAGCTCGGCACTGCAGCCTCTCCGGAGTTTGCCTGTGCGTGCTCTGCCGCTCTGCGGTCAGGCCCGCACCTCTAAAGCAGGGAACATATGAGCGGCAAAAACGGGCTCCGCGCGCTGATTTCCATAGCAACAGCCGGGGACGCTGTTACGTGGACCTATGCCAAGCCGCCAGGTCACAGCTTGCGAGCAAGTTCCCATAGAAAGTGCTGCTAGGCACACGTTTTTGTCGCGCATGTGTTTCCTGCTTTACCAGCAGCCGGGCCGCTGCATGCGCTGCGCCGCCATGCAAAGAGCTTCTCTGGTGGCTCTCCTTCGAACTAGGCCGCGCGAGAGCCAATGGCAGCCTCGTTCCTTGAAACCATGACTCGCGCCAGCCAATTGGAGCCTATCCACCAAATTTCTGCTACATAAAACAGGCTTCGCTTTATTGGGACAGAGGAAGGTTCCGTTTGACGCAACTTAAAAAGCTAATGACGTCGGCTCGCTCCATGGAACAGTTAAGAAAATGTCTCAGTAGAATTTCATCTCCCATAGGAACATTTACGGAATTCAGATGGCACTGGGGAGGAAGCCTTTCCACTGACCTGCTTACGCGATGTAGTGCTATTTCCAAACAAAAATAAAGAAAAAGCTTGTCTTTTTGTTCCGGTTATCAGCGGACGGCTTGACTCTGAAAGCCCCCCCCTTAACCCACCCATCCCGTCACCCCGCCCTGCAAGCTGCGAGAATTTTTTTTTTTCTGCAGTTTAGAAAGAGGAAAGCAGTGAGGGTTGTGGGCCTCCAAACCAGTCTTGCACACGTTACCAAAAAAGTAATCGATTACAATTACTATTGCTCTTGGCTAAAAAGTATTCGATTAGATTACTTGATTACTCGACGGCAAAAGTAATTGGACATTACTTAAAGAAGTAATCGTTACTTTTCCGATTACTTTATTGTGTGAAGACACATCTGTAGCGCTCAACAATGAACTACTTCCAACCTATATTTCACATTTGCACAAGTATCGAAGAAGAAAAACTGGCTCCCTCTTCGTGGTCGTTGCACCTTCACAGTGCGGACACATGTATAGAATTCGTTTGAAGACGTTTAATGATTTGGGCGTTCGCCAGTGTGTGTGTGTGGATTCCCGGAGAAAAGCTCGCCGGAGAAAAGCTCACCGGAGAGAAGTTCACCGGAGAAAGGCTCACCGGAGAAAAGCTCACCGGACCAATGGAGAAGGCGGAGGAAAGCTCACCACGCTCAATGAGTGACTCGTCTATTTTCACTTGCACATATTATTTCCGCATTAAAGAGCGAAAGTGATTTTCCACAGAGGAGTCATAAATTGAATGATTTGCGTTTATTTTCTCTCAAACATGAATTATTTTTTTCATACACGCACGTTAGAATCGAATACAATTTCCGACCGCTTCCAGAAGGGCTGGAACTTGTTTGTGCTCAAGATAGTCCAGGCAGATGTTCCTGAGGCGGTCTGTAGGCGCCTTGTCGCCCTTTTGGTCTTCTTCGTCGGCGGTTCCCCACGGCTTATTTGCAGCAGCATTACCTCCGATAGGGCTTGATCTTGTTGCAAGCAGTCGATCAGCTTCCATATACTGGGCTGGCTGTGCCCGACAAGCTTCTTAAACCCGCTGTTCCATCCTTCGCATGCGTTATTTGTGCGGTCTTCGTTGTTTAATGTGGCTTATAACACGTTCCACACTGTCGGCGGAAACTCGGGGCGTCGTCGGCGCATCGTTGTGGTTAATGCGCCATCGGCTACTCTCGATGACACTGCTCGGAACGTTCCGTTTACATACGTCGCGTCAAAATAGTCGATGAGGTCATCGAGGTCTGTTGGAGCCTGACCACGGATGTAGTCCAGCCCAACTGGAACAAGGTCGGGAGGGAGGAATGCGAGGCCGTCTAGCATTCCACACATCTTCTTGAACCTGTCGTCCGTCTTGTACCTGCTGATGAGGCCCAGCTCGCGTACCTTGAAAAAGAATAGAACAAAAAGAGATACGATGAGATCCTGATGCGGTTGCATTAATTGAGTTTGACGTAGAGGCTATATCTTGGTACTGGGGAGCTAAGCACTTCAAAATTAGTCAAATGCCTTTTCTTTGTTTTTGATGTCATATCATAGGTTTTGTTGGTTGGCCATAGATGGTTGGTACTAGAGGAGTCCATATTTCTTTTCAAGATTATTTTGGGAGTAACGTTACCTTGCGGTGGGTACTCTGGCAGAGGTGAAAGAAGCAGCCTTTCGTGGTGACATCTTCTCCGAAGACCGCTTTCGACGCTCTTATGGCGGCCATCTCATAGTCGCTAATGATGATCTCAGGGTATGGAGCATAACCGTTCGCTTCACACGTGTCCAAAATCGCTTGAAAAAGCTCTTCGTATATGGAGAAGGTTTTGCCTGGGAGCAGAGCATAAACGCGCGCCACGGTGCTCTCCCCAGCTGTACACCTCATAACGTACAACTGTTTAAACAGTCTTGGGCACACCGAGAATGTTCCATCCATGTACCAGGTTCGGCTTGTTGATAGTGCCCGCAGCTGTTCGTGGCTTGCAAAAACGAGCATGCGGTCTCGCCTCTCCGGCCCGTTGTCATAGATCAAAAACGGTTGCTTTTCCGGCCCTCCGGTCATTGTCCAGGTATCTCGTAATTGAATATCAGCAGTGGTCTGGGGTTCCGGCGGACGCACCTTACTTCTTTGCTGGCGCAGGTCACGACGAATAGTCTCGAGGCTACCAATGCTTTCGCGCACGGATGTTGTTGAATTGCTCAAAGCCTGAGCAAGCAGACGGCTAGGAGGTTCTGCGGTCTCTACAGCTTTCCTTTTTAGCTGGCTCCTTAGTTTGGTGACATCAGAAAGGCCATGATTGTTTGCATGATTGTGCTCCTGCACTGACCAAAAACGGGTAATCTGCGTTTAAAAATGACAAAAATTTGTGTCAGCAATAATGTATATGTAACTCTAAATGTAAAAACGAAAGAAGGTTTTACGTAAAAACGCTTGTGCAAATAAAGTGAAACATTACTGCAAAACTTGCACACAAGCGAAAAGTATGATATTTCGTACTTACATCAAGATTGGTGGTGATGGCTCCCTTGCAGCAACCTGTTCGTTGGTACCGGCACTGCCAGCGTATCCAGTCGTTTCTTGTAACTTTCATACAATATTCGTACCCATCTAGAAGCACTTTCTTCTTTCCCTTATTGGTCAGAATGACCTCCATGACACAAGGAAGGCAGGACTGGTCACTTGATAGGAGGTGCTGTTTATATATGCAATTTCCTTTAGCTCCTCTTGCGTAACCATACAGCTTCTGAGCAATAAAAAAGCAGACTGTATTTCTCACAAAGAGAGCGGAGAAATACTCGTTCCCAGAAAAAAAATGGGAAACAATAGGAATGCCCTACAATGTCAAAGTCTTCAGCTACAGCGCCAGTCAGAAGGATGTTATACATAAAAAAGACAGAAGAACCATGTAAGAGAGGGTAAAAGCGCTAAAACGTACAACACAGAGCGCTACTTGCAACTGAAGTTTATTCCCAGGAAACACACACATATACACACCGTGAAATCGCGACATGTACTTTAGAAATGCGACATCACCCCCTCATCGCTTGTCTGTCCGCTATCTATTTTACAAAAGATTTCAAAAACGCCATCTCAGAGCCAAACAGGGCTATAGATGGGGCGATGTTTGGCTCTGAGATGGCGTTTTTGATGTTTGGCTCTGAGATGGCGTTTTTGAGCGCCCCATCTATAGCCCTGTTTGGCTCTGAGATGGCGTTTTTGAAATCTTTTGTAAAATAGATAGTGGACAGACGAGCGATGAGGGGGTGATGTCGCATTTCTAAAGTACATGTCGCGATTTCACGGTGTGTGTATATGTGTGTTTCCTGGGAATAAACTTCAGTTGCAAGTAGCGCTCTGTGTTGTACGTCTCTTTAACTTGTCCGTTGTTTTTAGCGCTTTTACCCTCTCTTACATAAAAACGCAACAAACCAAAAGTTTTTTTGTCGTTTCATTCAGTTTCGGCAAAAAAAAAAGAAGAAAACAAGTAGGAATAATGATTATTTCTGGCAGTCTTAGTGAACTTTTTTACTTGCACCAAAATCTAAGTGAGCTTTTCTCCGCATTTGACACTTTTCCGGTGAGCTTTTCTCCGGTGAGCTTTTCTCCGGTGAGCTTATCTCCGGTGAGCTTATCTCCGGTGAGCTTTTCTCCGCTCCCCGTGTGTGTGTGTGTGGGGGGGGGGGGGGGGAAGCGGAGGGGGTTCTAGATCTTGTTAAGCCTGAGCAAGGGTTGTCGCTCAAAGTTTGCGTCGCTCATTTCATTATTCACATGTGGATGAGCTCGCACGTTATACAAAAGAGCAGCAGCTCCAGGATTTGAAAAGGATCATGTGCAGTATCCATTAGCGGAAAAAATCACCCCGGCTACTTCTCAACTCGAAACATTGCTTGTCAAAAGACCACGTAGGGGAAATGGGGAAATATTTCAACTGCCTTTGTTATATTTTGCATCTGCTTTAGGCATTCAGCGGTTGTGGTTCTCCTACGGGCTGTGAGTGGGCACCCTAAGCAGGATTTTTTTTTTTATTTCTGTATGTGTGTGCCTGAGGGGGCTAGTTTGTACGAAGGACTCACAAACCTACATTCTGCTTCCTCAAACTTCGCCCTGAATGGCCTTTGTCACGCACTGCGGCTTCCCTGGGGCTTCCCACTCCCAGTCCAAGCTCGAAAAAAAAACGGACATTCCACAGAAACTGTACAAAGATAATGACCTTGTCTCCTACAGCTCTGCAAAAATCTTTCTTTTTTCCGTTCGAAAAAAAGGCAAATTTTATTTTTGTCATTTCATAAAAAAAAGGGCGTGCGCCGGGGGGGGGGGGGGGGGGGGGGGGTTCCCGTGGACAAATTGTAATGGTTACAAGTAAATTTATTACTTCAAAAAGTAATCATATTACTCTTGTGATTACTGCCTAATAAAAGTAATCAACTGAATACAAAATTACTCCAAAATTAATCGATTACAAGTAATTTGATTACTTGTATTCGATTACGTACGGTACAACTCTGCTCCAAACCCGTCGCGAAGGAAGCTCCTTTTCCTATTCTTACCGGATTAGGAAGAAAAAAACACGGTTAGAGAACGCCTAATTTCGCTGCCTGGTTTTACTTGGGAAAAATGCCTGTCTCAGTTTTTCGGGTATTTCGTGTTTCGAGATTTTTCGCACAATACAATTTCCGAATTGCATGTAGATTGTTGATATCGCCAGTAGAAAAGCGAAATATGCCATACATTTATTTCGTAGTGTTATGTCATAAATTAAAATGTTGCGAAATAATCTGCCACAAGTCGGAATGGCGTTGCGTCCTAATAGCGGCCCCTCAGAGCCTACTTTTCATTCCAACGAAGCAGTGCTTTGAAAAATAAAGCTACTCAGTATAAAAATTAAGTCTCTAAACTCCTTGTGAGAAAAAAAGAAACGACATTCACCATTTCGCGATGCAATCAACAGCCATTAAAGTCCCAGCTTTTTTTATTTTTTTTCCAGAGCACCGGATTTGGTTTTATTTCAACGCTCACCTTGATTTCTAAATAAGTGTGCGATTTCTGAATTGCACGGAAGCAGAACTATATGCTGTACTGTCAAAATGCCAAAAAATAAACTACCACAAGTTTAGATAGTGCTGTGTCTTATATGCGTACTGCTCAAAGCGTAGTTCCATTGTCCGAAAACTATGTAAAAAAAAGGTTTTAACCAGCTTTAATAATTGCATGCTCCGATTAATCACTTCACAAAACCGAATCGCCACTAAGGCTCGGCATATTTTACCGAGAACCTCATTTGTTGTTTTTTTGTGTTCGCCCGGACGAGACACCACCTCCGGAAATCACTCAAATAAGTAAACGCTGCGGCACCAAGTAACAGCGTCAAAAGGCGCTGGGCGCTTTTTGGGACTTGTGGGTGTCTTTCTTACGAGATCACAAGTAAAGAACTTCTCTTTCTTCGAAGAAAGCCAATTTTATGTCAAGCGAAACTGAGATAAAGTGGAATGTTTTAGTATCAGTACAGCTATGAGCCATGTACCGCGGTATCCTCCGCAGTGTTTTTTTTTTTTCTTGCATCATATGATTAATTTTTGTTTAAAAATATGAGATCGACGCACCGATAGATATAGTCTGAATTTAAGCCAAAATTAGCTAATTTTCGGTTTTGGCTTGTTTTGGGCCGGCTTCCTTTGTGCGCTGGGGACAACTCCAATGAAACTTGAGGAAGAAAACGAGAAAGAACCGTTGTTCGTCCTTTCTCGTTTTCTTCCATCCTATACCAATCCGCTCGTTCTGTCCTTCCCGATAGCGCTACTCTCGAAGTTCACTGGCTCGTAGCTAGCTGGGGTAGGCGTCGTTGTATTGCGTTCCGAGGAGTCTGGACCTTCTTTGTGTTTTTCCGGTTTGTCTTTAGGGAGAAAAAGAAGAAAGGAGAAGGGGGGGGAGGGGGGTTCTAAGTCTGTGCCTCAGTTATCGCCGAGCAAAACAATATTAAAAAAATAACCCCAAAGCAAAAACAAACAAAAAAAAAACGGGAAACGCGTAGGGTTTCAGGGCATTTAATCGAACGCCGTTTCATCAAAAAATGGTCGTCCCGCACCGAATATTTGGATTGCAACAATTCGCCGGTATTTTGAAACAAAAAATCCTAATAGCGGAAAAAAACAAACAAAAACGTTTCTAACCCATATATATATATATCGGCCTCCCGCCACCCATGCCCGTTATATATATATATATAAATTATATATATATATATATATATGTATATATATATATATATATATATATATATATATATATATATATATATATATATATATATATATACAGGGTGTTTTTTTAGCTGCACCAAATTTTCAAAAAAAGAAAAGCTGCGTTAGGACACTTTTAGTTATGCCATTAGCATGACCTAGCGCCCACTAGGAGCCAAGTATTTTGTGCAACTAGGCGTCTAATTAACGGAAATTTCTTAATTAAATTTTTAATTATTGTTTTAAAAGGGCCTATTGCTTTTACGAAATTGAAGCCCAACCTTAATATGCTCCAACCCCACAGCGAAGTAAGGGCACAAAACAATTTCTGCGCGCGTTTCTGGCTAAATTATTTCATTCCCGCAGACTCTTTCAAACCGAAACTGACCAGAGCAAGAATCTCAATGACATCGATATCTTCGCCCTCGCTTGGCGTCACAGCAGTGACGTGACCTGTGATGAAGGCATAACCGTCAGCGCTTGTGCAATACGTTGCTCTCTCCTTAGTGTTTTGCTTACCGCGGCAGGTGTATTGAGGTGTCTGCGGTCGGCGTCAACTGTGCTGTGTCATATCCCTCTCTTGACCTACGGGCGACGCGACGATTTTGTTGGTACGGTAAATGCTGTTGCATGCATTACCAACGGCCG